TTCATATTTTGCGTCTGAATTTTTACATAAATTTCTCCTACTTCACATTTTCTAAAACTAACATAGACATCATAAATCTTTTAACCAATTAAAATTTAATTTCCAGAAATTTTTTACATAAAAAATGCTTAAATTTCAAATTTGACTTTTTAAGATGGAATACCAAGCAATTACATACCTTTTAAATTAAATAAATAATCTTATCCATCCTATTCATATTGAAATTAAGTGATGTCTTTTATTTCTAATTCTGTTAAATTCAAAGAAATTATCTGCAATTGATATGTTTTTATCTCATTTTATATTTTTTAAGAATAGCCAATATCTTTACTGCTTACTTTAACTCTGTTGTATTCTTCATCTAAAAGGATTAATTTTAATGAGAAATTATTATCACCACTTCTGTAGTTTTCAAAAACATATGATTCTAAGTCACGAGATAAATCTTCTTTTAACACTATTTTATATGGATAAGATCCTATGTTTTGTCCAAATATTTTAGCACGGTTTCCTTTAAAAATAATTGATTGCTATGATTATAAATTTCTGGTACTTTTCATATTTTTAACAAAACTTGGGATGTATTCCTTATACCTAATTGCTCCTCCAATTGATGAAGTGTTATTGACAAAACTTGAATTTTGAATGTCAATATCTACGTTTTACAAAAGCATAGCACCTCCTTCGTCTTAAGAGATATTTTCAGAAAAATGACAATCAATCATTAAATTTGAATTAGTTAAATTAAAATTATTCAAATTCAAACCTGTTCCAGAACCATATGATTTATTATTTGTAAAATTAGTATTTTTTATTACTATTTGGTCTCCATTTGAAGCTAAAATACAAGATTGAATTTGATTTTAACTAAAAAAGGAATTTGCAATCGCCACATTAGAAATCTAGTTAATTTAGATAATAGCAGATTATTCTAATGTGTTTTTTTTAATAAAGAGATTATTCATTTAAATGTTTTAGGCTTGTTCAAATAATATCGGAGGATTTTAGTTTTATTAATTATAGGTATTATTTTAGTATTTAATATCCGAGAAACTTACAGAAGAATTAGTAAAAAAAATTTAATAGTAAACACCATCTTGTTGATATTTTTAAACGTTTGGGAAGTAATAGAAATAGCAGTTATTATTAGACTGAAATATGATATTAGAAATTTACTAAAGCTTACTCGTAGTGACATATATAAAGTAATTTTAGGCTAATTATTAATTCATTATCTCTTTTTAATTGCTTTGAATTTTCACATTCGAAACTTAAATAAAACTGATTCTATCAATATAAAAAATTAAATTACTAAAATCAGATTAAATTTTATTTTTTTCAATTACTATTTAATTGATTGATAAGTTATTTCCTTGGCTTACTGTAAAAAAAGGATCCTAAGACTATAAACTTAAATTTATTAAAGTTAAGTTTTTTATTATTAATTAATCAAAATTCGATGAAATGTTGAATCCTTAAAAATTTTTTGGAATTGATTGGTTTGAGATATTTATATTACTAAATTCAATATTATTGTTTTGGATTATTTATATTTTGTACTATTGCGACTATGAATCTGGTATTAAGAAGTAAAAACTGCAATTTCTGAATGCAACTTAGGTTAAACTCTGAATCAACACATTGTCTTTAACGTAAATGGTTGCATTAATAAACAAAATAACTGTATAGTAATTTTACATACTAATAAAATCAATTTTATCTAAATAAACTTTATCACCAGTGAATATAAGTTATTGTTTTAAATTATTTGATTAATGAGGTATTATTATTGGATAAGCAGTTGGAATATAAGTATTATTTTAATTAAGAAGGTTTTATGTAAATTCCAATTAAAATTGGTAATTATTAACTTGAACAGTGAGAGAATTTTGAAGCTATTAATATCCATCTATTTTCTTTTATATCATGACTTAAGTAGGATTTTCAAAAACTTCTAAGCAAGTATAATTATCATTGCTACTGATAATTGGTATCTTGTAAAATACCACATCATTCAATCCTAAATCATAACCAATCAAATTGAATACATAATAAGATTGATCTAAAGGATTTGTTTCGATATTTGCAAAGAAAATTTTTAGGTTTTAATTTTACTAAATAAAAAGCTGGGTTGTTGCTCCATAAAAGCTGTATTTGTATGATTAAAAATCTAAATTAAGTAGTTATACATTATTTTAAGTTGAAATGACAATTTAATTACTGCTTACTACTTATATATCAGCTATTAAGTTATTGAGATAACTTTGTGTAGAGATAAAAAGAGGATTTGTTATTAAAAAATCAAAAAGTATGAACATTTAGCTTGAAAAAACTAGTAGATAGTTTTATTTC